ATATAGATAAACTTCCAAAATGAAGCTGAAGTTAAATTGATTGAACCAAAAGGGATGTAAAAGAATGCATGCTGAATATATACAGTTCAGAATTGGTGCTCCTTATTCAAACAAGAAACAGATGAGACTCCACAGATAGCCTGTTATTGGTACATGGATGTGTTTTAAAGGATAGGAAGAGGTTGGCCAAAAATGTCCATAATAACAAAAATGCATTCTGTCTTCAGAGTCACTCTAGAGTGGGGGAATAGTATTCATTTAAGATCATTCAAGATTCTTCTTTTAAATTAAAGAAAAATCTTCAGTGGGGCAGCAGATGGAATGAAACTAGAGGTATTCATTACCCAGATTCAGATGAAAGACTTCAAAGGCTGCCTTATATAAAGTGATTTTATTAATGACACAAACCATCTTATTCTTTAACAAATACTTGCTGGTGAGCTTTCCTGCATCCGTGTATTTTGCTGTTTTTAAAAAACTACATTTTAGTGCTATCCACTAGTATCACAAAGTATGTTAAATGTGCTTATAATAACAAGGAAGATCTGAAGTATAGCACATTAAAGCAGAAAGATCAGGTTTTCATTCTCTGGTGCCTGTCCCTACGGAGCATGGGCCCTACTTGGAACTTTGGTTTATGAACACATGGTTAAGGCCACAACTTAAAACCACGGATCTAAGTTCAAACTACGTCCAATCAGAAAGATGAGTCTTTTTCAAAGATGTCAAAGAACACGTTAGGTATACTTTCTGGGGTCAGAGGATGGGAGAACATCACCTGTCTGCCACTAACCTGATATGTTATCATGGGATGTTACAAACCCCTGGGTCATTAATAGTGTCTTAACTACACGACTGCTGAATCTTCCTAGATCATCTTTAAGTTCTCTTTCCATTTCTAAAATTTAAATTTTTACCTATTCCTCTTGATATTTACCCCACATCTTTCTTACTTTTAATTTATTTTCCTGCCTTGTATTCAGTTGGGAATAAAGTTATTGATCATCACCAACGACCAGCACATGACATTTATATATAACCCGAAGCACTGTTACAAAACTTCTTCAAATTAATGTCTTAGGGATAGCTATTGTGCTAAGTACATACAATAATTATTGTGCTTATACAAAGTCTTGAAGCCAGAAACAGTCATGTTGGGACTCAAATCCAAGACTCTAGGTTTAAGGACATCTGGGAGGCTTGCTGATCTGCAGTTGACTGACAATGTTCAGGTGATACAAATTCAACACTGAAGGAGCCACAGAAGAATCACATGGACAGACACCTCACACATGGTCCCTCCCACCACTTACCATAGCCTCACCCCACCTCCCTTTGTGTGAACCACTGCACAGAATCCAAGAGAAGGCCACAATTATTCATATGTAACATCATACAAAATGCATCATAAAAAAGCATCCAAACACACATGATGATTGTATTTTGCATGCAGTGTGGGGAGTCTTACTTTTTTTCTTTCTTTTCAGTTAAAACTCTTGCTGACCTTAACACTATGCTATCACATACATTCACTATTGTCAATTTAAACAATTACAAACTAGCATATTCCTCTGTGAAAGATTACAAAAGAGGCCAAGGCAAAGCTACTGGTAAAAGCCATAGCATTTATTGAAGGTAAGATATAAGTTTGCAAATCACAGAGCTGCCCGGGCATATAGTACACGTCTCCTAACGATGTTCCAACTTAGCCTTTTAGAGTCTTCCATACAGTCTCTTAAAAAATAACTAAGAAGTGTCAATTTGCAATTATGTGTACAAATGTGTACAAAGAGTAGCTTTCAATGAGAATCAATCTATGCTTGGCTACTTCAACATACACAGGTTGATTTTTCAGGCCTATGCAGCCATGCAGACTCAGCTGTATAGGTAGAACTTTCTAACGCATAATGGCTCTAGTGTCCCAAGTAGGATCAAAGAACACTCTCAAGCTTAGGGAATAGGGCAACCACTGCAATGAACAAGAGAAAATCTAACACAGTGGCAGTAAACCTATGGCACACACACCACAACAGGAATACCAAGTCACCCTGGTCAAGGTTTGACAAATTATTAGCATGGGTACAACAGTGAAGATCACATCAATTGTGCAAAAGCACACCAAATGCAAACTTTTACCTTTCAATAAAAAGATGTATCATTGAAAGTTCTGTTATTGTGCTTTTCTTTTAAGACAAAAGATGTTAATGTATGAGTTATTTTTTCCTAAACTAAAACTCCTCAATGTTCAGGTTTAATTGCAGTGTTGACACTTTGCAATAAATAAGTGAGTTTTAGGTTGCAGTTTGGGGACATGGTCTCTTGAAGGTTTGCTATCACTCGTCTAACATTTGTCCTATACAATATACCCACTTTGTCCTTGACATCATCAACACAGCAGTTAATATACAAAATTTCATCTAATAAAGGGCATGTACAAGATATATCTATAAGACAATTTCCATCTTAAGTAATGTTTAGAAGCTGACTTATTTTCTTTTCCTTTTCATCCAGTAGAAGGAAATTTGGGGGTAAAATTGTAAAAAAAAGAAAATAAAGAAACAACCTCCCAGCTCTTAATGTGGAATTTAACCTCTTGATTTCTTCTAAAGACATTTTTAACTGCAACCATAAAAACAAAACTTCATTTCCAATATTTAAACAATTTAAAAGAACATATCTATTTTGATAAGAAAATTAGTTCATTTTTCTAAACTGCATATCACTTTTCCTCCTTTTATCTTTTATGGAAATATTTAAAACAGTGATTAATGATCTTGGACTATAAAGTTATTTGAATTTGCTCATTAGAGATTAATAATATAAAGTTGCAAAGGATTTTAAATCAAAGAATCTAATAGTGTAAGATATCTGATGTAGGGGTATATAACTGATGACTACTGAGAGAAATAATAATAGTAAAGTTGGAAAATTCTCAAAAACAAAAGCCATACTGATTTGCTTTGTTCTCCACAATCTGTTTTGTTTTATTTAATAAAGTACTTATGTATGCCCCTACGATGAGTTTACTCAAACTTATCAGAAGATCTTAACTGAGAATTCTGTGATACTTGACACATCTGCTTGAACCTGAGATTTTGATATCTAATTAAATATAACATGTAGGAATACATGTAAGTCAGACATTTTATCCAGTATTTTTTCTTTAACTTCTTTTTCTTCTTCTTCAAGCCTCCATGCAAAAGATCCGTCAACAGCACTCAAGGTTCTTAACAGAGAAAGGTCCAGACACCCTGATCTCAATTCTCAAGCAGGTGCTTCCCAGTCACTGGCACGGCTGGTTTCTCTTCCAGTGGAAGAGTTTGCTGATCCAGCGTGGTCTGTGTGGTCTCTCGGCTGGATTCATCCCAGGAGCTGCTATGGATGGAAACCGCATATGCACTTCTACTCTGAAAATCATAGTCATGGTACCAGAAGAAAATGCACATTGGCCACTCACTCATTTGTACCTCAAATTTATAAACCTGACACTGTTATAAAAACAGGAATGAAAATAAAATAGCTTCATCCATGTCCATATGACTATTTCCCCAGAACTGAAAAGTGCTGACCTTTATGAATTTGATCACCGTGTTTTAAGATTAGATTCTTTTCATTCAGTTCTAGAAATTCACTGCACTCCGACCAAGAGCAGACAACCTAGTCCTTTAAAAAAAATTTTCCTAAAAGAAAGCAAAGAGGCCTTATTCAGTGGGCCTAAGGCAGCAGTAGGGGCTGTCAATTTATGTGCGAGTTTTCTAGTCAGTTTTAAGGTAATCTCTTCCATATAAGAGGACATGGAGAAGAAAATTAAATGTCAAGAAAGGAAGGAAGTGAGGCACTCAGCACCTACCACATACCAGATCTGGGCCAAAAACTGTAAATGGGTAGAAAATATTGAAGTCTTAAGCCTCTTAAGAAACACAGGGAGCATTTATTTTTCCCTTTTCACAGACAAAGGAAAAGAAAGTTTAGGAGGTTTCATAATTGCTTGAGATCATTCCCCAAATTACAGCACAACAAGTCATACTTTTAACAGATTCATAACAGGAAAATACCATTAGAATAATTCTAGAATTTGAACTAAGATCTTAGTAGCTCCAAAGTGAAAATGCCATGCTTATTGTTGCTGTTTATTTCATAATCCCAAGGTGCTGTAAATGTCTGTGGACTGAGAAGCTGCCTGAGTTTCTGGACTTACAAACTACTACCCTTTGTTGCTATAGATTTATTTTCTCCAAGATATCTGGTTTCATCTCCCCACTGGTAAGAAAGGAGCCCTTAAAATTATTATAAACTTGAGAAGAATTTTATGGGAATAAAATTTCTTCCCACTCTCTCAAAATTTTAAAATGTGGAATAAATAGGACACACATGTGTAAATACTGAATAGTTTATCTGGTGTGTGAGAAATTAAAAGTGTAAATAAGGCTCAAAATGTATAATTAATAATGTAAAATAGGAATAAAAGGTCTAATGGGGTAGGGGAAGTGGAAGGGGTAGGGGAAAGAAAAGAAGAGAAAGGAAAAGTATGAGAAAAGGAAAAAAATGGAAACAAAGTCTTTGTAAATAGGGAAGGATGGAGGGGTTGAAGGGAGGGCAGGGGAAGGGGGAAAAATAAGAACCAAGGTACATCATGTAAAAGTACAAGCTCCCAATGATGAATGTAATTGTATTGTATACCTAAAATGTACCAATAAACTTAGTGGAAAAAACCAATCTTTTAAATGTGGAAATTTTGCTATAATCCCCCAAACTCCTCAATATTAGAAAGTAAATGTTTATAATTAATCACTTGATGTTTTAGGAAATACAAATCAAAATGATCTAGACTAGAATTTTGATGACAGTCTTGTTCCTTAGTCAATGGCTACTTCCTTCCAATACTAAAGACCTCACCAGCATTTAGATAAAAGGAAAAACACTGAAAAACTATTCTTAAGAGTAATTACCTCCACAATTCATGGTAAGAAGAATTTCTTCTTCTTATAGTTTATGTATTACCTCATCTTTTTTTTTTTTTTTTGTACTGGGGATCAAACTCAGGACCTTGCACTTACAAGGCAGGCACTAGAACCACTGAGCTAAATTCCAAGCCCTGTCTTACCTCATTTTAATTTCATGCAAAGGATTAGTGGGCTTCCTTCAATGTTTTTTTGCTTAAAGTTTTCTTCCTCTAGCTTTAACTAAGGAGTCTATCAGATCCATTAGTTTTTCTACCATTCTAAATTGTGCCCCTTAACTAGGTAGACCTGTTAATTTCAAATTCCAATAGCAGACACAGAGAGATTTAAATTTGACAAAATAATTGGAGTTAGACATTACTCAAATGGAAAACAAAACTTGAAATGACCTAAAGGCCATTTTTTGGTTGCAGTAGATTGCATCATAACACCCAGGGTAAAAATAATAGATTTTTCAGAGATGGGATCTTTTCTAGCCATAGTTCAACAAGTGTATGCAGATGTACATCTGTGAAATAAATCTGCCACAGGGGCTGCACCGGGAAATAAGGTCTCAAACAGGAAGCCATTTATTATCACAATAAACTGCATCAGGAATCTACACAGACTCTCCTACCCCTTAATCTAGTTTAGAAATTTTAAAGATACCATTTTACTTTCAAAAAGGTGAGGAGAGTTGTTTGGAATACAATCCTTACAAAACTGCAAGCTATGATGGTTTAATACTTTCAGAATTTAATTTCCTTACATTTGGATTAAAGAGCCAGATTTTACTCAGTGCCTAACTTAATTCTAATCTTGGATTTTTTTTTAACAGTACTGTGTTAAGATAGCCCTTAGAGACCTAATTCCTTTCTAGGGACCCCTGAGTACCAGGAGGACAGAATAAATGTGACTCTCTTTTCCTTTGAGAGCTTCCTATCCTTCTTCATGGCAATGCTGATGTGAATTTATATCTTTCATATCTTTCTAAGTAGCAGAACACAGTCCTGCTCTAGGCGCTCAAAGGTTGCCAGCCCCAAGAACATGTTGCATCATCTGTATCTTCCTTCCATGATCTCCTTTCAACTATGCTTTGGTCCCATCAACATGGCTGCATTTTCCAAACAGAAAATAAAACTACCAATACCCAAAGGAAATAACAATTAGAAAAACAAATTAGAAAAAAACTCCAGGTTCACCTTAATCTCCCTCCCCCATCTAGTCTCCTTCCCAGTTGTTGGTAGATAGGGCTTCTGAGCTGACTGCCTGCCTTGCCATCCCCAGGCCTGCAGCAGGAAGCCCACTGAGGTCGGAGGCAAGATAAGGCATTAGCTCAGGAAGGGCTGGGTCCGGGGCAGTCCCCACCAGGGAGGAGCATTCACTGCATAGTAAAACAGCTGGCATTTACTTAGTGTATGTCAAACCTTGACACTCTCATTAGTCTTCCCAATAAACCTTAGCCAGATCAAGTTTTTTAAAAAAATTGAGAAGAAATGCTCTTCCCTTGGGGATGTTCCTTCATTTGTCAGCTTTATGACTGTGCCTCTATATGAAATAACTATGAAAAGCACGCTAAAATATGAATTCCCTCACCATTCTATATAGAATTATATGAAATACCACACCTTAATGAAAACAAAGTCCTATATGAAGAAAAATAATATGTATATTAAAACATAAAATTAAGGCTACTGTGTGCAAGATGAAAGCTAATTGAAAATGATATAATTTCTAATTGATGTAAGACACCTACTTTCTTGGATTATACTTAAAATGAGTTATTATCCGGATGCTTTAGCCACCTCATCTATTTTCACCAAGAAATATCACAAAATGAAGGGAAGAATCCCAAGAGACTGTGTCTCATGACAGCATATCCTCTTACAAATGAGCTCAGAGTTTCTTTCCATGTGACATTTTGCTGCCTTTTTTCTAGCTCTTATAAGTCATTACCCAGTTTACTAAGTTGATCATTCCAGAATTTTTCCAAGCAAAAAGTTAAGCTGATGAGTATTTCCAAGGTCACCATGCATCTCCCTTTTTGAAAGAAGGTTCTACATATGCCCTTTTCCAGTCTTCCGGCACCTCATCAGTCCTCCACGAGTTCTCAAAAATGATATCTAGCGGTTCTGTGATGACTTCGGCCAATTCATTAAGTACTCTAGGATGCCGGCCATGGGGACCTGTGGATTTGAACATATCTGGGTTATTGAAGGTCTCCTTTACCCATTCTTCCCCTAGACCATCATGGATTCCTGTTCCTGTTTTCCAGTCATCTTTGTCCCTTCCTGCTTACCATGTGGACTTTTGAAAAAAACAGCTTTAAGCATCTTTGCTTTTTATACATCAATGTTCTCTTCACGCCAATAAAATGAAGAATGTATTTCTTTTCAAGCCTATTTTTTATTTTTTTAAAAATCTACATTTTCCCTTTCTATTCCTTGTAAGAAACGCTTAAAAAATAAAGTATACTTTCTAATAGTTTGCATTCCTAAATCACATCACTTGATACCACACATTAGCAACCTCAATGCCCTGAGAGACCAGGCTAAAGGGAGCCTATTCCTGCCTAAAGGCTCTTTATCTTTTCAACCTGTATCTGCATGTGCTAATTCAAAATGCATCATCCAAAATTAAAAAGAAGCATCACAATTATTTTTAATCATTATCATCTGTATGCATAAACAACTTTTTTCACATAGGCTTTTGAAAAGCATAGCTGTACATGAGATGGGAAGAGATTAGAAAGGATTTCTTACAAAGCAGTAACCTCAAACAATTCATTTGTCTGTGGTCACCTGTGACAAGGTTCCCAAGTTTGTATTACACTAATCATCTGCAAACTCTGATAGGTGTTGACAGTTTTAACTCCTTCATTGTCACAGTGATCCCTCTGAAACATGGAGACAGCAACAGACTACAGTTCACTGGCCATCTGTCACACAGTGCTACATACTGAAAATCTCTTCACAAACCCATAAAGGACAAAGGAGAGAAAGAAAAGGCGGGTTTGAAGAGAACCGGATAGCTGAGTCTTTCCTGGCATTTTTCTGCTGCTTCAATTCAACTATTTAGTTTAATTGGAAAAGCTTTTGGAAAGGGTTGAAACATTGTTTTATTTTTTTTTTGTCTAGTCTGTCTTTCCAACCTTACACCTAGCTTTATCCTTTGAAGCTTAATAAGTGCCAAAAAACCCCTCACAATTGGCAACACCATGAACACTCTTTTGAAGAATTATTCTGCACATTTCTCTAAGGTACAATAATTTGTTTCAGCACATGTCATTTTCACCCCTGCACCAATAGCCACCTGCTGATGGAAATATGCTAACTAATATGTCATTATTTATTAGTTTAGGTCACACCATCAAGCCAGCACATCTAAGTGGATAGAAAGCAAGTTACTATCCATGCTCAGGAAGCCTTCCTGTTTCTCTAGAGAATCAAGCTATTTCCAAGCATCCTTTTCCTTTTTGGCCATGACACTAATAAAATATCTTAATAATAATTAATACATTCAGAAACTCACCCTAGAAAAACCTTCTTTATGATCTGTGGAAAAATAATGTTCCACCTATCTTGACAAATCAAGTTGTTGGAGTGTCATGGAAGAGGGTGGGGGAGGGGTGAAAGGAAATCCTACAAATAAGGGAAGTTAGTTTACTATAAAGAAGAATAAGCTACTGGCTATTTTATTCTCCAAGTGAATAAATGAAAAGACATTAACAATGAAACTTCTATTTACTATTGAGGTAAGATAACTAGTCATTTGTGTCACACACACACAAAAAACAAAAAAACAGAACAGAAAGATCCTTAGGCTAACTGGACACAGAAAGGCAGCTAGGAAAAAAAAAAAAGACCACATTGAAGTCTGAAGTCTGCCCTGTGCAAGGTAGAGTTCTTCTGCATGAAGTCAGGAAGACGGTCTCGCCTACCTTCCATGCTCCCGCAACATACAAAACAACAGGGGATGTCTTTGGAGGCACTGTCACCTGGCCATTAACACATCCTACAAACAGCTTGTGTGGAGATGTGGGTCATGATGCCGTTTCATAAATCTAACCACAAGCCAATAGCCTCCATTACCTCTTGTGCTTTCGGGTCCACAAAAACCAAGTCACATTCATTCAACAAGCCTAGCCTTGCAGTTCGCTATTTTTCATACTTTGGGGAAGAGGGTGGGAGGCAGACAAACAGGATTTCCACAAATTGGGTCATGGAGAGTTTCAAGATGTGAGAGCAGGCACAGACAACAGTAATTAGCTGAGCACATGTTGCTTCATGATCATGAGAAACATAAGTAATTTCTCTGTTATGAACGGCCTTGTGCTCTGGTGAATGACACGCACTGTGGCATCCCAGAGCCTGGGCCTGATAGACCCACTCTCCAAGCAGAATAGAAATGAGCAGATCTTGTAAAAATTCTGGCAAGTTTGAGGTAATTATGGGCAAACATGCATTCCACAGATCTGTTCTCCAATCACACATTTTTCCTATTTCATTCTCCTCCTAAATCATGTGTCACACTCCTACAAAATTAAACAAGTCTCTCATTACTCCACCAAGCAAAACAACAATCTGCTCACAGGTCTTTCTGCCTGCTTTCTTGGTGACAGGACAAGACTGACTTAAAAGTCATGAAAGTAAGTGCCTCAAGCAGGGTGTGTTGGCCTACCCCTATGATCCCAGTACTCTGGGAGGCTGGAACAAGAACAAGTTCAAGGGCACCCTGGGCCACTTATGACTTAGCAAGACCCTGTCTCAAAAATTTTTTTTTAAATGTTTTTTAAATTTAAAAAAGTATTTTTAAAAAGGCTAGGAATATAGTTTAGGAATGAAGGAAGGCAGGCATGCAACCAGGTGTCTTAAATTTAGTCCCTTCTCAAAGTTCATGAAAATCAATGTTGGGAAGAATAATTACTACGTGATATTTTAGTTTATAATACTCCTAAAGTTCCCCTTCCTCAATCCCTCCACTTTCTTTCTTTCTTTCTTTCTTTCTTTCTTTCTTTCTTTCTTTCTTTCTTTCTTTTTCTTTCTTTCAGATGGGGATTTGCTATATTGGCCAGTTTATCCTCAAATTCCTAGGTTCAAGCAATCCTCCTGTCTTAGCTTCCTAAATAGCCAGAGCTCTAGGTGCACACTACAATGCCTGCCTAAGTTTTCTTATTTTCTTATGTTTAAAGATAAAGTTTGTTTTTTTTAAAAAAAGATCTACAGCAGTTTCCCTACAGTATGTCAAAGTATCATCTCCCTATTCTAGGAAACCGTGGCCACAGGGCTTATCCTCCAGCTTGTCGGCTTTGAGACCTTACCTTAGGGCACCCAAACCTTACTCCCCAGCTGAACTATGGCTCTCAGTTTCACTTCTACTAGACTCATGGGGCACGGGAGCCTCCCATTTCACAGTCTTGCCAGTTTTCCCACATTGATCTTCCAATCTATGTTAGAATTCTAAACTGACAAATAAGGAGGGACCAAAAGGTTATTCAGTGCAGAAAGAAACTATTGCTCTGTGGTTTAAAAATTAAGATTCATGGGATTCATTTTTTATCTGTTGATTACTTTGATTTTTAACTGACTTTAAATCTGTTACTCTATTGAGCTTGTGATTTTTTTCCCCTAATTAAAGGCATCCAGAGCTCTCTGAAAGGCAAAACCATTTAAAAGTTCTTTTTCTGTTTTGATATTCTATAAGATGTAGTTGAACTGGAGATTTAAAACCAACAGACAGAAATTCTCCATACTAGAATGCTCCAATAAAAAAGTACAACTGGTCTGTCCAATGAATATTCTGTGCAATTTCCACACAGTTTAAGGGGCAATTGCCTCAGAAAAAAAAATGAATTAAGCATAATGGTATGAACTTGGGCTTCTCTTGGATGAGAGAGGGGGTACAAAGCTGAATCTTTGGGTGGTTGATAACAAGACATACGAAATTTTTTAATTTATCACATACTTAAAGTTTTCTGACTTTCAACCATGTCACACTGCCTGTTATTATGAGGCCAACAAAGGTGAGGATTTACTTAGAAGGGGCTTCAATATAGCTTCATTTTAACTGTAAGCCTCCTCAAGGGCAAAAATCATATTTTATACTTCTATCTCCTACAAGAACATTATATTTAAGGTTGTCCACCATTATTGCTGATTGCATGACTCATTCATAGTATAATTTTCAGACATAATTTTTCACCAAACTTAGTTCCTATTCAGAAATTTCAGTCTAGAAAGTCAGAGGGGGCGTATACATTCCCTTGTCTGAAGAAAATTGATTGACAACATGCTCACTAAACCTAACTATTCTTCATGATTATCTTTCACTTTCCTGAAAGACCTCTAAGGTTTTCCTCTCGGCATTAGTCCTGGAAAGCGCAGGCTGGCTCCCAGATCCCAGGTCTGCAGCATGCACTAGTATTACACAATCAGCTGGTGTTGTAACATGTCCTGATGTGTCCCTTGTCTATTAGAGTAGACTTACAGGGTAGACTTCCTAGGATTCTATATACTAGAAAAATGTTTGGCCTCCTGCAGAATGATCTACATAGATTTTCTTTTTTTAATTTCAGAAACAAATACCCAAATCTCATCCAATTATAAACTGTCCTGGCCAAGTATCCAATCTATTTTCACCATGGTGTGTCCTTGGTAGGTGCTGATTTAGTGTTCTGTTCCAGAACAAATTAAGTAGATTATAAGAAATTGCCTCCTCTGGACCTCTGATTCTAATCTTCACTCAGGACTTAATCTGCACTGTTTCAGCAAATGCAAAGTATGAGAAGCTACTTGGAAATTTTCCTACCCACTTATCATTCAGAAAACTCTAAGGAACAAATTCAGAGGCTAAAACACAAAAGCATCTTTGTTGATGCTATCCTCAGGGCATTAACCGACTTTATAATTTTTCCAACTGAATAGCTATGTAAATTTCCGACTTTTTATAAAAGCACTTTGCTGTACTCCTCACTGACTGCTCTGAATAAGCTATTTTCCCACACAGAGAACAACCCACAGGGCTGTAGTCTGTCAGGGGCATCAAGTCCTCCAGGAGATTGTTCCCTCCATTGCCAGGCCTCTTCAGGCCTGGAGTCAGAAGAAAAGAGCAGGAATTTAACTGCCAGGAATTCTGCACTATACTTCTAATAATTTTATAATAGTTAACAGCTGGTCACAACAAGAAG